TTGCTTTTCCCGCCTTGAGAGAAATGAGCTGAAAGACTTGGACAATAAATAACTTAATTATTAAACGTTTTGGTGTGCAGTATAGCTGTGTAGTTTTACTCGTTGTTTGTTTTTTGTCTCGCCCTACGGGCTCACCGAAATACGGCACAACTGGTAAAATACTCAGCAATACTACACACGAAAACATCTCATAAGATATACAATTTGTACTCCACTCGAGCGTTGCTTGTACTTCACTTTTTGCAGTTGGATAATAATAGCCTCTAGTACGATTAGTAGACGCTAAGAAAAGATATTTGAAGTCATTTTTTAAAGGATGTGAGGTACCTACCCTCACAAGGCTCCACATTACAAACCATTGTTTCCTTAGCTGACCCTGAACATTGGGCTCCACCTCCTGACGGAGGGGGATTGGTACAGGTTCGTGAGCGCTCCTTGATTCCACCTCCACAAGTGGCGCTGCATTCTCCAAAAGATCCGAATTCAGACCATCCACCATTAACTGCAGCTGAAATAAATAAGTTATTTCTAAAATAAGTAAGTTTTTTGATCGACATACGATTATTTTCATTGTGAATGATAAATTCAATCATATCATAATATGATCTTATCGCTGCTCTCATCTTGAGGAGCAAAGTATGAGTGTGAAATGAGGCCCGATTATTGCAAATCTTGTCACCAGTGCCTTTCACCTTAATGGTTTGACATTTCATTTGAAATGCAAAAATATTCTGGGTTCTTTTATCTATCAGAGTTCCAATGGTTTGTTTCCTTTTACAGTTTCAATTTTACATCTTTCTTTAGTTAAATCTTTTCCCCTTTTGATAAACTTAACGCATCACTCAGAGTCTTAAACTTCCCTCTTTACTATAATTGTAAAGATTTTGAAGCACATAGAACGCAATACCTTTCTTCATGCTGCAGCATTTGAATTTTTCAATGCAGTAAAGGCGCTCACAGCCGCCTTTGTAGATTCCAGTCATGTAATAGCCATCCCGTTTGCATTCGCTCCAACCTTTCTTGTCGAATGAAATGTAAACATCCTCATCATAACAGTCATCATAAGCGTTCGGATGATTCTGTGGACGACAGCACTTGGACTCTTCGATGTTGTAAATATTTGTTGGATTGGTGATATAGATGCCCTCCATGTAATAGCCAGCAGGACACTGAGCCCAAACATTTTTTCTGAAAAAGAGAAGTGAAAAGGAAAAATGTAGGTTATAGAACAACTGAAATAGTGTTCAAACTTACTTTAATACCTCCACGCTATGGAAAGGATATCCGTGTTTTTGTAACCTGGTAGACTGTTATACCTCGAGCATTATTTTTGGATAGAGCTTCACTGGTTTATTTTAAAAGCCTAAATACGGCAAAACATAAGAGAGGACATTCTATTATGCGCTGAAAAATTCGAATCTTCAACATCCTTTCCCCCCCTCAGGCAACCAACGGACATTTGACCGTTGTCCGTGCTCGTGGGGGTGAGGAAATTGATCAGAAAGTGTCAGATCTTTCCAGCGAAATACAAGGGTTATATCTTCAAATATGCCGAGGTGTTTAGGGTAAACTTGTGCGAGCGAATCGCTCAGGAGAAAAGTGGGTCTACATGGTCTACGTTTTCAGGTTTGGTCCATGTGTAGAAAGTCACGGTCACTGATTTTGCCTCTTACGAATAAATTAGGCACAGTTTTTGCCCCGGGTGACAGGTATTTAAAAAGTCTATCCTCACAATTTCAAATGCCCCGGGGGGTTGCCCGGAGGGATTTTGAAGCTTCGAATTCATCGAAGCATTACTTTCCATCAGAAAAGTTTAGAAAGCCAGAGTTTTGAAAGCCCTGTGATATTCAACCAGTACGACTCACCCGTCTAATGCGCTCCACCAGTTTGCGTTTCTGCAAGTTGACGGTTGATTAGCATAACCTGGTTCCTTAGCTCCGCAGCATTTTCCTTCCTCGATAAGCCAAAGGCCGTTGTT